AAAAAAAAAAAAAAATGGAAAGGAAAAAAAAATGCAAATCTTACTTACCCAAGGACAAGCATTAAAGCTTTCCAAAACCTTGAAGGAAATCACTGATGCAAACTAAATAAGCACACAAATTAAAACCCTCTTGTGACAATTGTAGTATATGTATAAGTAGGGATCGTTCTTAACCGGGGATTAGGAGGGATTGCAAAATCACTTGGAAACTGACTCAAAAATGTAAAATAAAGTTTAAAACACTAAACTAGACTCAAAGAATGCAAAACTAAACACTTGAAACACTAAAACAAACCAAAAGACTCAAACAGCACCCAAAACACTCAAAACTGCCTTAAAAACACTTTCGGGGCAGTTTTGAGCACTTTGACTACTTTGGACGAAATTGGGTAATAAAATGAATCAAAACACTTAGAAACACAAACTAAGACACTTTCTAACTAAATTGGACACTAAAGTAAAGGGGGATTGAGGTTTTGACTAAATTAAACTAAATGCACAGACTGTAATTAAGGGCAGATTTTAAATACGAATGTGATGAAAATATGGATGAATGCTAGCTAGAAGGTTCTTCTCCACACATGTTACACTTGCATACAAAATGATTTTCAGTTGGTCTTTCGATATGAAACTCAACACCCCGGGTTAATTAGGTCCGCTTAAATTAACCGTCAAGTTCTCCTTAAGTTAATGAATTGGATGGATTAGCGCAACGCAATTCAAAACATTCTCCAAAAGTCCTTTACGTGAAAAGCACAATAAAGATACAATCAAAGATCATTAAGCATCATGAAAACTATAAGTGTTGACGAGGCATTCGTTACTATGATGAGCATGAAACTAGTGCCAAGAATTCATTTAACGCGATTGTTTATAAGCAACCTCCACTACTTGTGAATATAAGATCATAACTATTAGGTGAAACTCACTTATATTCTAGCGTCATATTCATGCATGAAAATTAAGCGTGCACTCTCAATAAACATACATAAATAAGTTATCAATCAAACAGTTAAACAAATTGAATCCACAACTCATGAAATTCCAACCAAAGGTAATCAATTCATATTGCAAGCATAAACATGGTTTCGAATCACCCCCTAGCTAACTAGGGATTTAGCCTCTCATGTTCACAGAAAGAGAAATAAAATTGAATTTAAACATAACGAACAAAGGATTGATTACACCTAGAACGCCTAACGAATCCACTTGAATTTCTGCGCGTCTAGGCTCCTCTTTCTTCTTCTCCTTGCTGCGGCAGAGATGGTGTGTGATGATTGTGGATGTTATTTTGGGTTGGGGATGGATTTAGGGAAGTTAGGTGGTGCGGCAAGGGTTGTGGAAAGTGTGTGGAGGTGTGGAATGGAGGGGAAAATGCTGGAAAGGCTGCGGCAAGGTGTGGATGATTGTTTGATGGTTGGAAGGTGGTGGAGAACTCGGCAAAGAGGGTGGAAGAAGGTGGTGCTGCTGGTTGTGTTTCTAGAGTGCAGATTGGGGTTTTTTGGGATGAATGTGGCTGATGGTTTATGGGAGAATCCTCATGGGAGTTGCGGCTGAAAAGGATTAATGAGAGAGAAATGGGAGTGACAACTAGGGTCAATGATTAAAGAGGGAATGCATGTGGCTGAATGATGAATGACAGCTAGGGAGTGATTAAAGGGTGCGGCTAGGTTGGTGGAAAGCAAGAATGGAGTGGGGAATGGTGGGAAGGCTGCGGCAAAGTTGTAGGAAGGTGGGTAATGGCTGGAATGGAGGGGGATAGCTGCGGCAAAAGATGGGAAAAAGGGATGGTGGCTGAATGATGAAGAGTGCATGTGGCTTAATGATTAAAGAGTGAATGAATGGGAGAGCATGCGGCTGAATGATGAAGTGGGAAAGGTGTGGAAGATAGCTGGAATTAGTGGTGATGGAGGGGGAAGGCTACGGCAATGGTGTTAGAGTGGGCTAGGCCCTTTGTATTGTGTCCTAAAGTGCATACAAGGCCTTCAATTTCGTCCAACACTTTGGCTCCAAGCATAAGCTATCCATCCTTAGCCCAAAAGTGCTCCAAAAGGCTCCAAAATGCACTTCTTTGCTCCTTTAGCCCTTAGAACCTGAAAACATACGAAAATAACTTAAAAGACTTAAAGAACTAAGAAATAACAACGTAAATGCACAAGAACAAGCCAACTAAGTTGCCTAAATATGCTCCTATCAATCACCAAAGCTTTCCAAAACCTTGAAGGAAATCACCAAAGTTTTCCAAAACCTTGAAGGAAATCACCCTCATTACCAAAATTGAATGAGGCTCCTACTTAAGGAAGGAAAAAGCACTTTTCCCACACCCACAAGGAAAAAAATCCAAGCCTCAAAATACACCAAATGTATTTTGTCAAAAAATTATGGAAAATCAATATGCACAATAAGTATGTGCCGATTTATCCATTTTCAAGCCTCTATGCCTCAACGGCCCTTGAAGAAATGTTTCGTTGGCCCTTGAAAAAGCAACCTCATTCAAGATCAAGTCTCAACAACCCTTAAGTTAGAACATTCACATTGCATGACTTCAAAACTCGTTTCCTACATGTGACAAGTACATACCTACAACGCGCCTTGAAGTGGGGGCATTTTTAGACTTGTAAATTTCGTTGCTTGCAAACGATGCATCACAAAGCTCCATGTGGCATATGACTCATCACAAATGGACAAGTCATCAGTGACATTGGCACAAATCAAGCAAAGGAAGCTCAAAAGCATACCTCAAATGTGGCAAAGGGGAAGAAATCGCCTTAAAATCGGCAAGGGGCCCAAATTGCTCCCAAACCCGAAATGAAACCTGAAGCATCTTCACAAAACAAACAAGAATTGAAGATTTCTTGCAAAATAGGAAGAAAGCCCTAATTTCGGCCAAGCAAGGGAAAATGGCTGAAATTAAGACATAAAACATGCCTAAATTCTCCCATGGACAAATCAACACATAAATCAAAGCCAAACTCATCCAAAGGCAAGCTTTGAGAAGTCTATAAATACAAGGTCCTCAAACAAGCATAAAGGTTGACAATTTCTACATGGAAGGGCCGAAATTCTCACAAAATGAGAACATTTGCCAAATCTTTGAAGACTAATACACTACCAAAGCTCTCTTCGAAGAACGTACAACCAAAGCCGAAGCTTTCTTTTGACCACAGCCTAAGCATTCCCTTAAAGAATCAACAAGCACTTGTGTCGATTCTTTCAGGACTTTGTTGCAAGCTTAAAACTTGTAATGATGTTCAATTTAAGATCAAGTCTCCAAGACCCTTGAATCAACAAAATCCCACATTAACATCACCTTTGTTGTAGGTCATACACATACCTAGAGGTGAAGACTTTCCACGCATTGTTACAAGCTCAAAACTTGAAGCAATTGTTCAATCGTTCATCCTAGATCAAGTCATCGCGACCCTTGGTTCAAAAACCTACGCAGCTACATTAAATTTGAAGACTGAATCAGAGGAAAATTTTAAACAGAGATTGTAACCCTACAAATTCATCAATACAAATCTACTTTGTACACGTGTTCTCGTTTCATTGGTTACAAAATTTTTGTGTTTACAGCCTGGGCCTTTTTTGCCAAGCGGGGTTGGTATGCTAAACCGTATTGGCCAAGTTCTAATGCCCACTTTATCACTTATTAAGAAGCGTCTGGACTATACAAAACTAATCGCAGTGGGTACTAGGTCAAGATGATAACCGGATGCCCCTGAAAGTAAGGTCTGAGCTTCCAAGCTGCAACAACTAGTGACAAAATTAGCTTTTCAATCCTTGGGTATTTGGTTTTCACATTGAGGAAAGATTTGGATGTATTAAATGCTGGCAATTAGGCCCCCAGCTCTTCTCATATGAGGTAGAGCTCACTGTTACATATGATACCGCCAGAAAGATATACAGGTTCTTCGCTGTTTTCGGCTTCGATAATAGTGGAGGTAACGTCTGCTTCAGGTCTTGAAATGTTTTCTCTTACTCATCATCCCATTTGTTTCTCTGCACCTTTTTTATTACCTTAAAGAAAGGCTTGCATCGGTCGGTGGATCGTGAGATGAAACAATAGACTGTAGCTGCTCGTCCTGTCAGACTTTGGATCTCCTTCAGAGTTGTGGGAGACTTCATGTCCAAGATTACTCTGATTTTCCTTGGATTAGCTTCAATTCCTCGCTGGGTTACAAGGTACCCCAAAAATCGCCCTAAAGAGACGCCGAAAATGCACTTGGTTAGGTTGAGCTTTATTTTGTACCCTCGGATGATGTTAAAAGTCTTTGCCAAGTTGCCGATGTGGTCTGACCGTTACTTGCCTTTCACCATGATATCGTTAACATAAACCTCCATGGTTACTCCAATTTGCTTCTTGAACATTGTGTTTACGAGTCATTAGTAGGTTGCTCATGCATTCATGAGGCCAAAGGGCATGACTTTGTAACAATATATGCCTTACTCGATCACAAATGCGATTTTTTCCTTTTCAGGCTCGTGCAAGGCAATCTGATTGTAGCCTGAATATGCGTCCAAGAAGCTGAGCGACTGGTTCCCGGATGTTGGTGTAATCCACGCATACTCTCCATTTGCCCTTCTTTTTTTCATCACTCACACGACTTTGGCCAGCTATACTAAGTGATCCACTTCCTCAAAGAATTTGGCCTCCAGTAACTTGTCGATCTCCGTCTCAATAATCGCTATTGGCTCGGGTGCGAAATGTCATATTTTCTAGATTATAGGATTGGCAGTAGGGTCGACATGCAGCTTATGATAATCTATCGCTAGATCAATACGAGGATGTCAGAGGGTGACAATGTGAGAATGTCACAATTTTCCCTAAGGAAAACCATGAGTTCTTCCTTCTCTGTCAGGCTCAAACATGAACCAATCCTAGCTGTCTTCTATGGCTGGTAAGGGTCAAGAATGATGTGTTCGGTGTCCTCTTCAGGTTTCCATCCTGATTCATTTGCCAGGGCATTGTCGACCATGAAGCCATCTTCCTAACCCACCTACTGTGATTGCTGTTTAGCGAAGGTAGAATCGTTTTTCTCCACTTCAATTGCTACTGCTCGGGTGAAAGAATTCTTCTTTGACTCATTGAGAACTTGTACAATGTATCGCTGAGACATGTCTTGGTTGCCTTTGATCTCTCTGATTACTCTTCCCGGGATGCAAAATCGAATCTTCTGATGCTCGATCGAGGTCACAGCTCCAATCTTCACTAGGCAAGGTTGTCTTAATATCCCGGTATAGGGAGATGCATCGCTAACAATCATGAAGGTCTGTGATGAGACAACCGGAAGGTTGGCTACGTCGAGCATGATTATGCCAATGATAGTTGAGGTAAGTCTGTTGAATCCGGTCAAGACCTCTACTTTATGTTTAATCGTTCTTTCTAAGCCCATCTTCTGGATAACTGATAGTTGTAAGATATTAACTGAGCTACCATTGTCCACCATAATTCTTTCAATGATGGCGTAGGCAAATTGAGCAGAAATCACCAAGGCGTCGTCATGGGGAAAGTCTACTTCCTCAGTCCTGCTCGGTGAAGTCGACGATTGGTCCAGGTATAACATTTATGGCTTGAACCTAAACGATCAATCTCGTTAGCTAGATCTTCCTCTTCTTGGAACTGTTGGTGGCCCCCAGATGCTCGGATTCAGCAACGATGCCGTTGATTCGGACAATCTGCTTGTCACCTTGGTTGGGCAGCTGGTTTATAGACATACTGGTCGCGCTTACCTTCCTTCACGAGCTTCTCAAGGTCCTTTATGTATGTGATACAGTCGTTGGTTGCGTGCCCCGGAACTCTTTAGAATGTGCAGTACTTCGTCTGGTCCATCTTAGAGGTGTCTCCCCTCATGGGTTACGACATCTTGAACCACGACTTTTCCTTAAGGTAATGAAAGATCTAGTTGATCAGTCCATGCATCTGCTTCCTGGCTTATTTTTGTCATTGAGCGGTTTATCGCCTACTTTCTTCTAAGTTGGCTCAGCGTCTTTGCGTGACTGCTCAAGCAGCTTCTGGGAGCACTTGGCTTCATCCCAAAGGGAATGCTTTTCTGCAAAAGCATAAGAATCTGCCAAGGTCAAGTTCTGGCCCATAATCAACACTCTGAAAAATAGGTGATCTGCTGGGAGCCCCTTTTGAAAGGCTGAGCTTGCAATGCTATCATCGCATCTGATAATTTTCGCCTTCTCCACTTTGAACCTCTTGGCATACATACAGAGTGACTCATTCGGTTCATTCTTCATGTTGAAGAGGTGGTCAGACTTCTTCTTGATCAAGCGGTAGAATGAGTATTCCTTAGCGAAAACTAAGGAAAGTTCGTTGAAGTTCCAGATTGACCATGGGGGCAGGGTGTGGAACCAATCTTGGGCCTCACCTTGGAGCATCATGGCAAAGATCTTGGACATGGAAGCGTCATTGTTGTCGTATAGGGTCATGGCGCTTTGGTAGTGCATCAGGTGCTTGTCCAGATTTTCATCTCCTTTGAACAAAGGGAAATGTGGCGGGCTAAACTTCTGTGGTGGCTATGTCTGCTCGATCTCGTCTATAAACGGTGACCTACTCATGTTGGCCACATCTCTCTGAAGGGCATCGTCAGTAGTCTCAATGCGCTGGAATCCACGCAGCTGCTCGTGGGGCTGCGGAGCCTCCAACTGCCCTCGATGTTGACATGATGGTCCATGTTGCTCTTCGATATATCCTGCTCGTCTGTGCTATGGTCGCAATGCACATGGTTTATTTTGTGATGCTCGCCATCACGTTTGGTAGGGGCTACCAATGGAACGTGAGCTAGACTGTTCTCGTGCATTCCTCGGTTCATTCCGGCATGTGGCTGCCTACTCTGGTGCCTTATAGGAGGATGAACTTGTGGGCCTAGCCTCGTGTGGATGCTTCATCTGGAATGTCGTGACTGCTCATTGGAGTGTAGACCCAACCTCGAATGCACACTAACTCATGAGTCGAGTTGAGAATGAACACTTCTCTGCCCAACTAAAGTGGGAGAAGACATTTTCCCGAGGGCCCAAACGAGAGTGCACACTACCTAAACACATGGTTTATGGCGGGCTAAGTAGCTTTTTGTTGGGACGTCACTAGAATAAACCACGTTTTTCCACCCTTGTCCTACTTCGGAACACCTCGTCTAGGGCACGCTGTGTCTCAATGGGCTTAATGAGCTGGTTCGCCAAAATGGTCTACTGCGCGAGGGCGTTTATGAAATTGGCGACCAGCTGAGGCATGTAGTGTTCACCATCTAGATTGGAAGAGTATGGATAATGGGCGTTTCCATGTCTGGTGGAAATGTAATGGACTGCAGGTACAAAGCTTGGGCCTAAAGCAGGCATTCCTGCAAAAAAATGGAGTGAAAATAACCCTACATTGATCGCAGGATCGGTGGTGAAAATCTAGATCGTCGGAGGTGGCCTCGGATTAGATTGGGCCGCAGACCGAGTCGTCGGAGTGGGTCGCAGGACTGGCCAACTCGGTTGGGTAGTTGGAGCATATGCGAGGCATGCTGGGATCGTGCCTGGGCTGGCTGAAACTAGGCTACGACTTGCTCCTCGTGAACTTGGGCTCAACTTGTAGTGGGTTGGGCTCAGCTCGCAGCGAGTTGGGCCTGGGCCACCTGCCTGTGGGCTGTTCCTACTGACTGGGCCAACTCACCTAAGCTCTCCTGGGCCTGTTGTGCACCCAGGCTTACTATTGTTGTGGGCTGGGCTTCCTGCCCTAAGTTTGCTGTGGCAGCTGCCAAGCTCTGGCTGCCTGCCCATGGTCCAAGAAGTAGACATGGGCCTCCTGCCCAGGGTTTTGAGGGCTAGGGCGCTACAAGCGCAGTGATGCTTAAATGAAAAATTTGTCCTAACTAAGAACATGTGAGAACATTTGAACACATAAGCAAGCTAATAACACTTTAGAGTAGGCATGCACTAAAAAACAATTCTAAAAACCCATTACTTTCAAAGCCTAGTGAATGGTGAACCAAAAGACTCTTTAACAAATTAAAGAGAAAGAGAGTTTGAGTTTCATTACCCTTAAAGCTCATCTTTGTTTACACAGGGATTCACCCAAGTGGAGGGCCTTCAAGTCACCTCCTTTAGTTTCTTATTTGCTTCTCCTTTGCTCCTTGAGGATTTGAGGAGAAGAACTCCAAGAACACCAAAAGTTTGGTGTCTCTAAATCTCCACACCAAGGATAAGGTGTTAAGATGAAATGGATGACTTAGAGGAAGGAATGTTGCTAGCTATTTTTCTCTAAGTGTGGCCGGCCTCTTTGGAAGACAAAAGGAGAAAGAGTTTTGCTCTTTTTCCTCAAAGAAAACCCTTGAAGTTGTAAAGCTATAAAGTTCCTTTTGTTTTAGTTGTCAGACAACTGATAGGAGCATATTTATGCGACTTAATTGGCTTGTTCTCGTGCATTTACGTTGTGTTTCTTTAGTTATTTTAGTCCTTTATGCCATTTTCGTGTGTTTCTAGGTTCATATGGCTAAGGAAGCAAAAAGGTGCATTTTGGAGCATTTTGGAGCAAAATTGGGCTTGGAATGGATAGCTTACGTTTGGAGCAAAAGGAATAGACGAAATTGAAGAGGATTCCTAATCAAATGAGTTACATCCTTTCCTAAACTAAGTAATAAAGCCTTAGGATATTTTCTGCCCAAAATTCCCACCATAGCTGCACCCACATGCTCTCTCATCATCATCATTCACCCTAGCTTTAATTCACATGCTTTCCCAACAAATAAAACAGCCATTCCACATGCATTTCCACCCACATGCTTCATAATCATTCAACCAACTTTGCACATGCATTCATCATCATAACCTAGCTGTCATTCCACTTTAATCCACATGCATTCCCTTCATAAATCAGCCACATGCACTCATAATCATTCAACCAACTTTGCACATGCATTCATCATCATAACCTAGCTGTCATATTCCCTCTTTTTCACCTATAAATAAGCATCCATTGCAGCCACAAAACATTCATTCTTCCATTTTCAGAAATTCACCAAAGAGAGCCCTTTGTGCCGTGAGTCTCCCTACCAATCCAAACACCACCAGAAATCATCCCATTGCCGTGGCCTCCCCCTTCCATTTTCACCACTCCCCAAACCATTCACACCATCAAACTAACCTTAGACCTTGTGCTACAACAAAGAGGAAGAGAAGCAGGCCTAAACGTTCATACAATTCAAGTTTGAGTTGTTGGAATGTTTAGGTGTTTCTTTTCCTTTGAATTCAATGTTTAATTTCAAGTCCTTTTGCTTTGTACGTATGAGGAACTAAACCCCCCTTGGCTAGGGGGGGATTCGAAATATATGTTTATGCTTGCATTTTGATTTGATTACTTCTAATTGCGTTTCATAAGTTGTGGATTCAATTTGTTTAACTATTTGATTGATAACTTATTTATGTATGTTTATTGAGAGTGCACACTTAATTTTCATGCATGAATATGACGCTAGAATATAAGTGAGTTTCACCTAATAGTTACGAACTTATATTCACAAGTAGTGGAGGTTGCTTATAAACAATCGCGTTAAACGAATTCTTGGCATAAGTTTCATGCAATCATAGTAATGAATGCCTCGTTAACACTTATAATTTTCATAGAGCGTAATGATTCTTGCTTGTATCTCTATTATGCAATCATGTAGGGGACTTGTGGGGAATGTTTTGGGTTGTCGTATGCAATCATCCAATTCAATAACGTTAGGAAGATTTGAAGGTTAATTAGTGCATCACGGTTAACTTGGGGTGTTGAGAATTAATGGTTTATTGAAACGCAATTGGAAATCGTTTTATTATGCAAGTGTAACATGTATGGAGATGAACCCCTTAGCTAGCAATCCATCACATTCATACTTACAATCTGTTTTAATTAGAATCTGTGCAATTAGTTTAATTTCGTCCAAAACTCAATCCCCCCTTACTTTAATGTCCAAATTAGTTAGAAAGTGTTTTAGTTTGTGTTTATAAGTGTTTTGATTCAATTTGTTATACAAATTCGTCCAAATTCACCAAAGTGCTCAAAACTGCCCAGAAAGTGTTTTTAAGGCAGTTTTGAGTGTTTTGGGTGATGTTTGAGTCTTTTGGTTTGTTTTAGTATTTTAAGCGTTTAGTTTCGCATTCTTTGAGTTTAGTTTAGTGTTTTAAACTTTATTTTACGTTTTTGAGTCAGTTTCCTAGTGATTTGCAATCCCTCCTAATCCCCGGTTAAGAACGATCCCTACTTACATACTTACTACAATTGATAAAAAGAGGGTTTAATTTGTGTGCGTATAATTCTCGCATCAACAACTTAAACATAATGGTCCTTGTGGACCAAAATCCTTTTGGGCCCCAAGACTTGAAACTAACTTAAAAGTCCAATACAAACCTTTCGTATAATTAATTAACTTATTAATCAATCTTGACCAATCTCAATTAAACCATTTAATTGCTTATCCATCCATCAAATTTATATTTCTTCATTTTGATCCTTACTCGGTGTACAATCCATTAGGTTCCTATTAGCAAGGCAGTGGGCAATTATTACTCTTAACGATCAATTGTGAATTGAAACTAC